TTGTCCTGCCATTTTGCAATTTTCCATTTTAACGAATCACTCGCCGCAGCTGGGGCTGCCCAGAGCCACCAGCAGCACGACCACTCCACACGAATTGGCAATGTCAACCATCAGATTTGACAGCCGAACGTTATGGTAATTTAATTAACCATTAAAATGAGATTATTGTGTAATTTATGCATGTGACAGCGTCCCTGACAGCTCTTTTAATGAGTCTCCAACTGCGTCCATAACTAATAAGGCCAGGTGTCGGGGAATGGGAGCAATTAACTTTCCCATCAGGCAGATTTGGGCTGGGGCTGGAGGCTGGGGGCCTTCCCAATCCTGTTTGCATTGACATCTACTGACACATTTGCCATTTATCCCGGCACCTTCGAACGGCTCGAAGAATGCAATTTCCTGCCCGAATGTCCTCTCTCGTTTGCCACTTGGCTTTGGACACTCGAAAAGTTTAGCATCAGCAGGAAGCCAAAACGAAAGCCCAATCCCAGTTCCAAATTCCCAAGTCAAATGTAAGTTATATTGATGGATTTGCACGCTGCGCCCGGTCCCAGGACATCCCGGGGCTGTGGCCTCATGCTGGGGCATCCTGCTGCGGCCCGGAAATGTGCCTGGCCAGGCCCGGACAACCGGCTTAGAGCTATCCGCTGGCGATGGTGCTGTCTGGCGTGCCCCATAATAGTAATAGAAATTGATTTACCATTTTGTGTGCACGAAAATGTGCAATTTATGTGTCGCCCCCGTCTCACACTGCGCCCCTTCCTTGTGGCTCAGCATAGAATAGATGATAGCCTCGGTGGATTGGGGACAGGACATGCATATCGTATGGATGGGACGGGACGGGACGGGCATAAATTCCAGCCCATCTGCCACGGCTAATGCATTTTTCAAGTGAACTGCATAATTCAGGAGGCGCATCCAAAGTCAGTTTGGTCATTTGGCAGGCCACAAAAGAGCCTCCGACCGACCAGCCGTTTGGCATATCAATGCGAGTGGTTTAGCCGTCGATCTCTTTCGCTCTAATTGCCGAAAAATAATAATGCTTTTGCAACATCATCATAACGCGCTGGCTGGCTGGCTGGCTGACCTGGCTGACTGTTGCAACGTCGCTTGTGGCAAGCGCGCGCTCCTATTTGATTTGATTGCAGAGCAGCAGCCGGAACGTGGAGAGGGAAGTGCAACCGCATCATTGCCAGTCATTTGATGTCCGCTGAATAATTTACAGCAATTTCAAACCGAACCGAACAACGCCCAATGCCATTTCCCCCCAATTTATCCTGCCACAAAAGTACCAGCATTATGCAGGAGATGGGCACCTTTTTGGGAGGGCGTGCTGGGAACAGAACAGGAAAATGTCGATTTAAAGCGAATTCTTTTCTATGTATTTTCCGGGTTTCCCTTTCCCCCTTCCCTTGCCTTGGATTGCTCTGATTGCATGTGGCAATGAGTTATTTGGCAGCGTATAGAAAATGTATGGCAGCCCATCGATTCGGAGCAAATTAATGCTCGAGTGAAACCCAAATGGAGCACAAAGGCTTTCGCATAGATAAGGAGCTTAAGCCTTCAGTGGGAGACAGAGAGAGAGAGAGAGATAGATAGATATCGATTGCTATTGCGCCAGAAATTCAAGCGACTTACAAATTACATTTACATAATGCAACCCAAAATTGACAGTCCACAACCCACTCTCTTGCCACTGTGGCTGGCAAGATGGCTGGCCAAGCTACCACAAAAATGTTGGAAAATAAGGAAAACAATAAAGAAAATTGCTAAGAATTGCAGAGCAAGAAAAACTCGGGCGAAAACAAAAGAAAACGAAATAAACCCGCAACGAAAACAAAGTCGTAAATTCAATTTAAAGCTTGACAGATTGCCACACTGCGGTGGCAAGAGCGGAGGCGAGGACGAGGACGATCGCAGTTGCATGGTCGTGTCAAACTGGTGCAGCTGCAACGTTGCAACGGCAACAAGAATGGCTCCAGTAACAATGGCCGCTTTTATCTTTTGCCCAGCAAGCCGCGGAAAGTATTTGCCAGGAACAGAAAAATGAAACCCTCAGAGGCTGACTAGGAGCTGGAATGGGGTCGGTGGGCCTCCAGGGCCTGTGCATGCACTCCCCAGTGCATCCGAATTAGGGTCAAGTTTTGCTGGAAGAGACCTGGGAGGCACTCGGAAGGCGCCTCCAGAGAACCCCAATTAAATGGGCTTTAATAAGCTCAACCACTTTAACAGTCAGAAATCTGGCTAAAGAGGTTAAACGGCTGGCAAACTTTGGCCAACAAGCTGCAGAAGAAGTAGCTGCAAGAAAGTAAAAAGTGCGGAGAGGCAGTTGCAGTGGCAAAGGGAGAGCCAGCGGCAGAGGGAGACTTTTGGCAGGGAGTGCCAAAGTGCTGGCTAAAGTTGCAGCATTGTCCGCTCGCTTTTGTTGCATTATGGTCGTTTGTGGCAGCACCAAGGACCGGCTGGCAACGGCAGCTGTGACCCAATTTTGGTGCTGCTGATGATGGGGCACTTTTTAAATATGTGAACCAGTCACACCACGAACCTGCCATGTCACCGGGCTCAATTTACAGCACATCCGCCGTGGAAGTTTATCACGCGTGGGCGCCACCTTAAAACCACAATAAGGTCAATCGCATAGCCACCGACAGCACCAGCAGCAGCGGCAGCGGCAGGAGAGCCCGTGTCACCACAGCAAACGCATCGCAATTAAAGCCAACAAATGGAGCAACACAGCAGCATCCCACTCAGATTCACGACCGAGCCAATCAACGGCCATAGCCACAGAGCCACACACGCACAGAGCGGCAGCGGGAGAGGAGTATTAAAGTTACAGGAGAACTCGTACCAGAGAGCCTCTCCCGTATCCGAGGCCGAGTCTCAAAGCGCTACGCAGTGGACTGGCTTGGGGGGCCGGATGGTTCAGTGGGTGGAGCGGTGACCGCGGCCAGGAAACGGGCACAAATTGCGTTTTAACGCATGCAAATTGCCTGCGTCCACGTCCTGGACGAGTTTATTGCATTACAGACATTGCAGGCTGGCTGGAGGCGGGTTGGAGGCCGCCTGCCTGCCTGGCTGTGTGCCCTGAAATTGCCACTTCGCACTTGAGCTGTTGTGTATCGGTGTGGCCCTGTGGTTGGCTGCAAGCGAGAGGGTTCCATGTGGCAGAGGTAGTTGCCATTTGTCGCCCCAAACCCAACACGAGCTCGCAGCTTTCAGATGCCGCTCCAACTGCCGCTCCAACTGCTGTTCCTGTCGTTTTCATTAAGCCAACTGACATCAGCGATAGCAATATCAGCAGAAAAAGCAACAGAAGCCCTAGTAAGAGCACCAGAAACAAGAGCAACAGCAATAGAAGCGGGTCTTTGCTTACCGAAGCTGTACATACCCTTAACGATTTTTGTTCTGCCTACAGCGTATAGCAATGGGATCTGTGAGGAGAGTGGGATACCAGACTGATCTGATTGAGATAGAATGACACACGAACATGTCTCCATTTAGAACGTTTAAGCTGTCAGCAATGGTTTCTAATCACCATACCCTCTGTTAGGGTATACCATTTTCAATGCAGTTCTTTCAGGCCAGACGCTACGCCATTGCAAAACTGTCAAGTCAAGTCAATGTGGGTGTGGGTGTAGGGGTGTGGGGGCGAGTGCTGAATATTTATTTATATATTTTTCTTATTTCCCTTTTTTCACAATATTTCACCCATTTAACTATGGCAAGTGAGGGCCGGTGGGCCGGTGGGCTGGTGGGCGTGGCAGCAGCAGCAGCTTATTGTTGCAGCTGCCGTAGTTGTTGTGTGCGGCTGTTGCGGATGTTGCTGTTGTTGCAACTGCTGTTAGTGTGTCATAAATTGTATAGACAAGTTAAATATTATGCATACGCACCATTGCACTTAATAACATTTCGGTATGCCTGACAATGCCCATCAGTGGATGGGGCCGTTGGAGTGTATATACATGTATAGACTCCTATTCCACTTTTATGTATGTGTTTATATGCTGCTAGTGTTTGTGTTTAAGCTGTGTGCTAAATTGAATTAAATTAAAATAAATCTCATCCGCAGAGAGCGCAGAGTGTCGCATAACTAAGCAACGCCAGCGAATGCCATATATATTCTGTTCACAATCAGATTTGCACATGTTCTCTCTCCGAGTTTGTTCTACATATGAAATTCGAGTATATGAACTTATATGTATGTACGTAGCATATGGCTCTGCGAAATGAAGTGCAATGTTTTTTTGCGACTTGATTATATTATTTGCATCATTAGTTCCATTCCTATGCTTCAGCAACATCGGACACACATGACCTAGAAAAATGTCATGAAATCATGATTTATTTCTGCTGCTTGGAGTTGTTTATCTTTTAAGCATATTTAAAGCTGAAAATAATTTGATCCTCAATAATATTCTGCTGCAAAGTCTATGCAGACTCAGAGAGCCAAAACCCAATATTCAATTGCTGCACTGAAAGTCTCTGTTACCTATCTCTTAGACTCACTTTCAGCCCCATTTGCTGCCACAACAGATAAACTATTGATCATCATTAGAAACACCTACATATGAACATGACTCCAGCTTCCCCCCCCCGCACTCTCTCTGCCATGAAATAGCAGTGTTTGCTTTTCTACTTTCCACCCCTTCTAACACACACTGGCAATGCAAATGTTTCACATTGTCCTCGGGCCGAGAGTCCTGGTATATGGACTGCCATTACGCATACGCCGGGTGTGCGAGCATGATATACACCTCACTGCCTCTGAATGGGTTCTGTATGGTTGATATATGGGTCTGTAGTCCCTGAATGTGTACGATTTTCTGACAGACGTCACTTTGGCTTATGTGAGTTTTGCATTTTTTATGCATTTAAATAACAAAATTAAACTAGAAAATATTTCACAAGCAATTTATGGTTCTTTTTACTCGCTCTCTCTCTTCTTTATCTGTCTAACTCTCTCTCTCTCTCTCTCTCTCTCTTTTGGTTTATATTCACAGATTAACAAAAATACGCAGAACAAGAATTTGGGCGAACACAAGCGCTGGATCCATGATCCCTCAAGTAAGTAAAGTAAACCAGAGTCCTGCCTGGTGCTCCACACACCATTGGGTACCGCCTGAGGGGACGGTGGTTACGGCCAATTAAGTTTTCAGAAAAGCCAAGGACAAATTGCCGGCAATGTGTTATCGCAGTTATGGGCAGGCAGCGGGGCTCGGGGCCAGCTACGATGGCAGGGAGAGAATTAATAAATTAAATTGAAACACTCCTCTGCCTGCAGGTGACCTTTGCCGACCGCTGAACTGCAAGAAGCGTGAGATTTGCCTGCTGGAGGACGAGTACAGCGCCGTGTGCGTGTCCAAGAAGGAGCTGCACAAGAATCGGTAAGTGGGATCTGCCAGGGGCCACCATTATGGTTGTTGTTAAGCTTGATGGCCTAATTAAAGAAAAACTGAAACTTACACCAACGCTAACCCCAAACCCCCCAAATCCCAACCCCAATTCAACCTTCTTCAGGGATGAGATAATCACCAAGGCCAAGTACATGGAGGAGGAGGCCAAGCGGCGCGTCAATCAGCAGGATAACCAGGACAGCCAGGACGCCGAGGACCTCACCAATGATGATGAGGACAACAGCAGCGATAGCAGCGCCAGCAACAATGCCCCAACCAATGTCCAGGTCAACGAGGAGAGCGACGACGAGGATAAGAGCCTGAGCCTGGGCGACGACGACGAGTCCAAGGAGGATGATGTCTTCTACGAAAACAACATTGCCGGCGGCGATAAGCAGCAGTCACAGCAACAGCAGCAACAGCAGCAACAACAGCAGCAGCAGCAGCAGCAGCAACAGCAGATTCCACCAGCAGGACCACCGTCCGCCATTCAGCAGGACGATGATGAGGAATTGGAGTGAGTATTCCAACATTTAGCTTTGGGCCTTCAACTTTTACTCCGTATCCGTTGCCTCCTCAATGGTATTTCACATTTCATTAAGCAAATTCGCGTCGAACAAAAGGGTTGAGGGTCACCTTTGACATCAAAAACGGGCCTCACCGCCTATCCGTGTCTTGCCCGTGCCCCGTATCGCAGATTTCCTTGGTGGCCATGCTAATAACAAATTGTTTTATCGTGTATAAAAATTCCGCAATAAATTTACAGTGGTACAATTTTTAGCACGCAGTCTTGCAGGGGCCTACGGGGCGGGGCCCTGGCCTGTTTTTGCCTTTGTTTTTGTTTGTGCTGCTGGTTTTTTTGCCGTCACTGGCAGACTTCTGCCTGAATGGGCCGCAACGACAGCTTTATGGCCTTTACCCTTTGACGCGTGCCGTCGCCGTATCCCCTGACTTTTTCAGTGTTATCGCTTTGACCCTAACCCAAATTGTGGAGCCACACGCGAACACTTCCTCAAAGAAAGAGCAACCCGAGCCTTAGCCAGGTGGCGGAAAAGGGGGTGCCATTTGCCCATGGCAGGTGTGGCAGTGGGAGGGCCAGGAAAATGAAGTCAAAGTCGAGTCTGTGTCAAGGCCTGATTGGCTTTGCTTCCGAGAACCTCTCCAACCAGTGGCAAGGGTTAACATGTTTCCACACAGCCATAGGAAGTTGTTGGCAACTTTCAAACATCGATTTCCGCTGTGAACATTTTTTCCTGAAAAATCTGTGGGGGAGTGTGAAGAGGCTACCAAAAAATCAAGGCAGAACATGCCTGGCCCATCAGATGCGGGATAGTCAGTGCAAGAGAGAGTATGTACAGACAAGCCGCGAATTGCAGGACACACTCCAGCTTTCCAGTACCTCTTACCTTTTTTTCTTGTATCCAACAACACAAACAGCGGCAGAAATCAAAGACAAACTTTTATGACAGATTCCTCCCCTGACGCCCCACTTGTAAAACCTTTTACAATCCATGACCCAAAAGTGTTGTCAAAATATTTGGCTTGACGTGATGTTCATCTTGTTCATCAATTGTTTTCGTTGCAAGGAAAAAAGTTAATTTCATGCTCGCTGCTTGCTACTTTGTATTGGGGTTTATGCCGCTCTGCCACCAGCGAAAGTTTTTTCCCTACATCCTTTGATGAGGTTTTATAGAATGGAAAGTTTATGTTCGGGTATTACTTGCGCATACAAATTGTGGAAAATTGTATGGAATGGAGCGATGAATTTCTACTCGTGGCTTTTGTTGGCGTGTCCTCGGGGGAGTCCCTCCCCGCAGGCGATTGTAATTGAATTAAACAACCACACCCCCCAGTAGTAGACGTGTGTGAGGGTGTAAAAATCAATCTATAGGCAAATCACGAGTCGGGCTGCTCCCAGTGCTGACATTAACAATGGCTTTTCACATTTTTTTCTATGTGCACGAATTTTCTTTTCAATTTTGCTTTCACGGAAATTTCCCTTTTATGCATACATTTGTGTGTGACAGAGTATCTATGTCAATGGCATGAAATATGAATGCCGTCTGCGGAGTGTTGGCCCCCTCAAGCGCTGCTGGCAAAATCAATAGTTTGATCCAACATTTCCTACTCATCATCGGTGCCTGACAGGCTGTAGGCAGCTGGAGCTTTGCTACTGCTTCTGCTCCTACTTCTGCCACAGCTCTCATCTTTCCATTCAGCCACATGTCAGACAAAGGATTTGCTTTGGCAAAGGGGTCACTCCCTGCTCGAAAACGGGGACACTTCTAATAGACCAGACCAAAAGGCAAGGCAGTCGGGCGGGGGGCGTTCGGACGGTCGGACGGTCGGACGGTCGGTCGGTCGTCACCGAATAACATCCAGTCATAACTCATGTGTGAGGCGGGCATTGTTTGCTGTAACAATATGCCATGCCATCGAGCGGGTTTCGGAGCGGGGGCAAGTTGCACATAGTTCATCTCTCACCTCAGCCACAGCTCAGATATTTCTGTGTGTGCATGTGTGTGTGTGCCACATGCTGCCTGTCTCTGGCAGTTATTTGAAACCACTGAGCTGTTTTGTGGTCCATGCACATGAAGCTGTCGGCTCCAGCAACAGCAGCAGAAGCAGAGGCAGCAGCTCAAAGGGAGTCCTGCCCCCGAAAACCCAATAGGGCCGAAGGAGGGTGTTGGTTTATGGAGGTGGAGGTGGGTTGGGCTGTGTGTGGGAAATTGAAAGCAAATATTTGAGTAAAAATTTACACATTTTTCATAGGGACACAAGGAAACGGCATGCGGCCGGCCATTTGATGGGCAATTTGTGCAAAGCAACCGCAGCTCCTGTGGCGGTCAGGCCATTCAAGATGCCAGCAGTGGCAGGCCCAGGGCTAGGCCCACTGATGTTGCCTCTCTATGAGCTGCTGTCACTGAATGTGGCCGAAACGATGAGGCATCATCGTTTGTTGCATAGCACAATTTATTCGTCTTACTATTTACTTGCTCCTAAGAATTTCATTAAACTTATATAAACAGTCCGTCAGAGGGAAGACAAACAAAATCGAAGCGGAAGCGTGCAAAAGAACATGCGAGAGAATTTTTAATTAAAAGTGAACCTAACACACACACACACTGAGAGAGAGCAAGAGGGAAATTTCACATCTTTATATATAGGGTATACGTTTGTATTGGTTTTTTGGTCATTTGATTCGTTTGCTTTGGCTCTGCAACGAAATTGGCTAGCTTAAGTGGCGACTCTGCATGCAAAATGTTGAACAAAAAAAAACAACAAAAGGTTTACCCAACCCAACCACAAGCTCAAATTCAACTTTTCTTTCTATTTATTCAATTTGTTGGCTATTTTCTTTGGCACTAAATAGTGGTATAAATTCTATATTTAATGTTGTAAAAGAAAAATAATAAAGCATTTGGACTGTAGAGCAAACACAAATAGCTAGTTACATATGAGAAATTTAACAAAATTAAGATTTTCATATATAGTAGATTCCCCCCGAGCGATAATTATTCGACTGAGTATCGGATTCACAGGACAGTTTTCAATTAATATTTTACATAGCAATACAATCCTCTAATTATGACTGCCAAATTGGGGCAATTAGGAAAATTACTCTCCATTCATTGGTCCGAAAGTAGTATGGAGTATGGAATAAAATATATGCCAAATGCATTTGATGCGAGCACTCGTAAAACCTGCATAAAAAGAGGGTAAAATACCCCAAATTAAAGGGGAAAACATTGCATATATATTTCGGAATAAAATTATGAAATATTTCGGTGGATAGTGGGGCAAAAAAAGCTCTCTGGGGCCCTCTCTGTGTGAGTGTGTGTCTGGGCAATAAAAACTGATAAAAGCCTCAGCCTAAAGCCTTTTTTAATGAATGGACAGCCCCTGCAGCAACAGTAGCAGGAACAGAAGTGGCAGAAGCATCAGCAGTGGCAGTGGCAGTGGCAGTGCTCTGGCAATTAATTGAATTAATCTTTTGTGGGTCAAAAAAAGGAGTGCCGCAAAGTGCTACAGTTGCGTATATTATTACTTGCAAATGGCCGCACAGAGAATGAATAAAATATTCATTGCTGCATTGATTGGCGCCCAATTATGATGCTGCAGTTTAAATTCAAGAGCGGCAACAATGAATGCATCGAATGGATCATGAAAGTCAGAAACGTTGAGGAGGCATTTGCATGCACATGCAATTTAAGCTCTAAAATGATAGTTAAATATTTCATTTAATATATCCATAAACCTCGTATTGAGTGGCCTTTTCTGTTTATCCTTGAAGTCCATAGAGTTATAGACATGTAAAATATTCTCACTATTTATCTAAATATGTGAAATATTATGTCCATTTTTCGCTGTCACTTGAAGCCAGTTGGCAGTTTAAATGTTTGCACAAATTATTAAATAAAGTTTGAGGCAGGAAACAACCTGTACCTGTACCGGTACCTGTCCTTGTCCCTGTCCGTGTCCTGACCAATCTCATGGCTCGACTGTTTGCCTGAGCGTGCGTGCGGCGCATATTAAATAAATATTTAAATAAATGTATAAGCAGGAGGATGAGTGCCGCCGTTGTGTCCTGCCGCTCATCTCGCCAGCAAGTACATATTTCCACGAGTGTTGGTTGTGGGTGTGGGCCAGCCAGGTCTCCCGTTCAACCTACCTGGGGAGTCCTGGATAAGAATGGAAGCTGGAGGAATGAAAAAAACCAACGCAGACTTCATTTGCATAAAAATTAATTTTGCATGTCATCTATTTGTTGCTGTTGCGCCCTCTTGAGCTTTACTTTCCTGATTTCCCGACCTCTCTCTCTCTCTCTCTCACCCGAAGTCAAACTGTAACTCGAACTCTAACTCAAGCTCCTCTGTATCTTTGCATGTACTCCCTTGTGTGCTGGCGTGTATAGCAACTGCAAGCCGTGTCCTGTGGCCAAGCCGACGTTCCTGTGTGGCGCCGACAACAGGACCTACTCATCACTATGCAGATTGGATTATCACAATTGCATACATTCGACAACCATACGGATCGCCTGCAAGGGATTCTGTCCCTGCAAGGGTAAGTCCTTTCCAACAAAAAAAAAACTAAAAAAGAACTGGAAATTCCGAAACAAATACAATGCAAGTCAACCACACTACACCACAGCCCAGTCCCAAGCCGAGAGCTCCAGGGGCAGGCCGCATAATGAGCCTGAGCCTCGTCCTAGTCCTGAACATGGCAAGCGGCCAGATTGTGACTGCCAATGGGACTGGGGATGGGTCGTCCCCGTCTGTGGACAGACTACAGAATAAATTGCATGCATATTTTGCGACAGGCTTAGTTCCGTTCCCCACCAGAGCGGAGATCTCTGACGGGAGTTATTTACCCACCGAAGTATGCTACAAAAAAAGGAACGGGAACGGGTTCGGGTACGGGTGTGTGGTGCACCCTCCGCTGCCGCTGGCAATCCGCGCGAATTATTCAAGTCTGGCAATTAAAAATTCCAATTACCAAACAAAGGCTTTTGGCCTTAAATATTTCGCAGAGCATATCACTTGTTAAATATTTAATAGGCCGTCGAACAAGTAGCCTCCCATTGTGTTCCGGCGCCCATTGTGCTGTGCCTCTTTCTCGCTCTCGCTCTCGCTCTCTCATGAGCGGATGAGAACGAGTGGCATCCACTTGGTGAGTCAGCCAGGAGGCAACGTTAATTCTCAATTTTTCACAGCTGAGAAAGCACTGCCAGCCAGCACTGTTTTGTGGCATGAAAATAAAATACATGCATAAAGTATAAACGATGCCCCACTGAGCAGTGTGAGCCAGCCAGCCAGTCAGCCAGGAAAAGTTTGCCTGGTCATGCGATTTTATGACCAGCATTTTGCGATTTTGCGATTTTGCGATTTTCCATTTGCCATTTTCTTGCCTTTCCACATTTTGCAGAGAATGTCGATGGCAAGCGGCTGCAGCGCATTGCCGGCTACAACAAGTACAACAAGAAGATCAGCCTCGAGCAGCAGCAGCAACAGCAGCAGCAGCAGGCCTACAAGGACAGCAGCAACAACAACATCATGATGAACAGCGGCAACATCATGGGCGGCAACACCAACGACTTTAACACGATCATGAATGTAAGTTTTGTTCTTCGCTGAGTCTCTCTTTGTGTGAGTGTTTCTGATTTTCGTGTGGGTTTGTGTTCCCGCCGCAGGACAAGGAGGATAACAACCGGCACTATAACCACATCAATGCGCAGTACACCTTTACGCCCGAGGAGATCAAGTACGACAACAAGCACTACAAGTATCTGAAGTACACGGCCTACAAGAAGGTGAGTTTGCGGTTTTGCACACCAAATCGTGTTCCACTCACGCACTTCCCTTCCCTTTATTTGTTGCCAGGATGCCAAGTACCAGGAGGACAAGCACAAGATGCGCAGCTACAACGAGGTGGTGGAGAAGCAGCAGCAAAAGTTCAACAAAAATAGTAATTTGAATGGTAAGTTCAGCGATCTCTAATTTCCATATAATACAACTTACCATTCGGCAGCCTATCCATCGAAATCGGCCGAGTGCAAGCCACAGCAATTGACAGCCATTGGCAACCGTCTGCTCGATTGGTTCTCCGTGATCATGGCCGACAGCAAGAAGCGACGTCAGCACAGCCAGAAGTCCAAGGCCCACTTCCCGCCCGCCTGCAAGACGGAGGCCAAGTGGATGTTCGGCCATCTCGATCTGAACAATGACGGGCAGCTGTCGCTGCAGGAGATGTACGACCTGGAGCATGACCAGAACGAGCGCTGCATCAAGCCCTTCATTGACACCTGCGACCTGGACACGGACAGTTCGATCAATACCCGGGAATGGTGCCGCTGCTTCGAGAAGACCGATCGCCCTTGTGCTGCGGTGCGACGAAGAATCGCCGGCGACTTTGCAGGTGAGATAGGTACAGGTGGACATTTCTCTAGCTACATAACACTAACTACTTCTATGTTCTCTCTATGTATTCGTATGAGTTGTGCGGGGGGTTCTTTGGGTTTCGTTTATCCCCACCCCACCTCTTACCCCCAACAACAACAACAATAACAACAACAAGAAAAAACCCTCAAAACCACGCAAAACAAAACCCCAAAAAAAAATAAGAGCAAAACATAAAAAAAAGAAAAGCATTAAAGGGTAGCAAGAAGAGTAATTCTGTTTCAGTTGGTTTTTTTGTTAGTTACACTACTGCTCTTTATCTCTGTCTCTCTCCATCTCTCTCTATACTTGCCACATGCTATATGCCATCTCTGTCGCCCTTTTTGCCACTCGCCTCTTTACACAGAGCCCTTTGTTTGCTTCACACAATTTACTCTTACTCTTACTCTTACTCCTACTTTACACACTCGTTGGAAACCCCTTTTCAAACTATAATTAAGCGCCTGACAGCCAAATAGAAAACCCTGACACACTTTCACAAAAAAACACTTGCCACTTACCAATACAGACACAGATACAGACACCTACAGACACAGATACAGAAACAGATACAGAAACACCAGCGGTTAATAGAAGTAACCTTTTTTTCGCTCTCTGCTTTTGTTGTTAGCTCTCTCTCTCTCTCTTTCTATTCCACTCCCTCCTCACTTTCTGTATCTCTTAGCCAAACGCAACTTTTTTAAGCCCGCAAATTAAACACTTTCAACAACAACACAGAACTTTTATAGAACCCTCTAGCTCTCGCTCTCGCTCTCGCTCCATGACCATGCCCAATGCTTTTGCGTTTGCTTTTTCTAAACTTAAACTATATAATTTTCCTTTTCTTTTTCTTTGTGCCTACCCTGCCACACGACCCACAAACATCTAAATAGAATACTCCAACAACAACAACAACAACAACAACTTTTGCTTGTGCCGCTTTTCACTCTCCTCCACTACCCCCCAGACCCGTTCAGCTCCTGTCAATTACTCTGACTTACTAAAATGTGGCATACCTCTTTTACTCCTCCTTCGTCAACGCTGCCGCTAAACGTCTATTGTTGCTGGCGTAAACTAATTAGGCGCCTACGCCCCAGACTGCGACATCCAGGGATTCTACAAGCCCACCCAGTGCCACAATTCAGTGGGGGTCTGCTGGTGCGTGGACAAGCACGGAGTGGAGTTCGCCAACACCCGCACACGCGGCAAGCCCAACTGCGGTGAGTATGAGTGGCAAATTCCAGCGTGCTAGTACCATGTTTGGGCTGCCTATAAACACTTAACATAAACATTCGGTGTGGGAATACACAGGCACAACAAAGTTTGCCAAAGGTTTCACTGAAGCGGCGATCAAAAGCAGAAATAATTGAACGGCAGAACAGTCAGAAGCAGAAATGGTTCTAGGAATGCCAGCCAGCCAGCAGCAAGAAACGATGCAAAAGGATTTTAAAGCATATTCAATGCAGGGAACAACCTCGAGCAGAGTTTGTACAACAAGGAAGCGAGCAAAATCGAAACACGATTCTTGTAAAGAAAGCTGAAAAAACAATACGCAGAAAATGCTATCCAATTAGGCAGATAACATTAAGGTTTCATTAGAGCTTCAATGGTGAAACGTTTGAAGCCAGAATTCACAAAAATATTCCTAAATTTATGCAATGCAATAGCGACCAGCACTAAAAATAAACTCTCAATGAAGTATCAGCCAAAATTGGGTTTATTTTTGTTTGTCGTGCTTTCAAATATACAAAACTATACACACATTTTTACGTTTAAAAGTAATCCCTGGCGATTGTGCAGAAATACAGCCAATGCCAATGCCAATTTATGCGGATAAATGCCAAAAAACATATACCAGCGTCCCTTTGGTTAGTTTCATGGATTGAACTTCAGACCGCACGAATGATTGGCCACCTGAGCGCTTACATTGAACTGGCAGAATTGAAGCTCGGCTTTAGTCCGCTTCTTTGCCGCAGTGGCAGTGGCAGTGCCAGTGCCAGCCTATCAGCAACGAAAACTTCTCGCAATGCTTTGCGTATACGTAATCTACTTACACGAATCTCTCAGCCGGAATCCTGTGCATGGGCAAGCCGACAGCTTAAGCTGGTTTAACTCTGCACTTAAAGCAGTTAAAGCACTCATGCTCATGTCGAGTATGGGATCAAAAAAGGGGAAAACAAAGGAAAGGTTAAAGAGTATTCTGCTTCTTGATTAGCCCACCAAAATGGTCTATGAATAAACAACCTCTTTTTTGTGGTAACACCCAACAATTTTAATTTGTTGTCTAATCCAAACAGAGTCCGTGGTTAATAACGCCGCATCACTCACTTCCGATGACGAGGATGAGGGTGCCGACGACGAGGACAGCGCGGAGGGCAGCGCCGATCAGATGCTGGTCTTTTAAGCGACCGACCCCGAACAGGAGGATGGAGCCCGGCTGGGGAAATTGATAGCCCTGGGCCTTGGCGCAGTCAATCAGCGAAGCGCCGTTAGGCCGCCAGCGTTATAAAAGAAAATTAATAATATTATTATTACTATTATGAAAGCAAACAAACCGAAAAATGGAAGTAAGAAAAACAAAAAAAGCAAAATCAACAGCAAATGCAAAAAAACGAAAACGAAAAGCGAAAACCCAAGCCCAAAAAAAAAGCCGAAACCGAAACATAAATGTGCAGTAGCCAAGTAAGCGTTTTTGAATAGAATCTACGTAATAGCAAACGGCAGAAAAAACCACTCACACATACATATATCACGCACCACACACTGACACACACAAGGAAAAACTAAAGCTGAGCCATCATCGGACAAGCGCAAAAGCAAACCACAAGGAAGGTGCATGGGAGAGCGAAACCAAAGAAAAAACTGTAGCATAGTTGAAAGCGCATTGCACGCAAATCGTAGTAGCTACCCCTACCGCAAACACACACAGATACACACACACACACACACACACACACACACACACACACACACACACACACAGCCACACACAGCATCCACACATCCGCCCAAACAATTTGTTCAACCAATCAGCAGCAGCACCAGGAAGCTCCATTTATCCCTTTTTCGTTACACGTACGCCTGGCCATTTGAACGGATGGTTGAACGGCCATTTAACTAGCTTCCGTTATCGCAAGCAAATCCGTCTATTTTAGCCTTTTGAGACAAGCTGAGATGCATTAGATACGATAAAACATGCAATTATTGGCCGCCCTCACCCCCCATTGTCTGTCCTACTCTGCTTTCGCGCAAGCCAAAACACGACACACGCTAAGAATTCCGCCCAAATAAAACAAAAAAAGAATATATAAAAATTTATGTGATAAGTTTTTGAAAAATGAAGCATTGAAGCAGTTTATATGTACATGAACAATGACTACCGGACGGACAGTAGCAGTCTGAATATCGGAATCAACATGGCGACATCCCCCAATCGGAATGTCGAAGATTCAGACTCAGATATTCAGAGTCAACGCGTGGCCAAAGAGTAGTCTGTGTAGTACTTAGTGTGGAGCCGAACTCATAACGCGTTCACTTAGTGTTACTTCCCAGATATATAGTGAGAGAACCGATCGCTAAGGCTAATGGCTTGTGGCTTTTGAGCAGCAGCAGCAGCAACAGCATTAGCATTGGCATTGCAATTGCTTTGTTAAGAAACGAAATATTCATTTGTGTCAGCACCTGCCAGGGCAAAACGTAGCACTTGCTTCTATCTTAACCGAATCTCAGTAAGACAACACACACAGACACCCATACGGATACACACACAACACACATTTGTATTTTGGGCAAAACTTAAGCTGCAACCGATTTACGGTACAGCAATGAAATTTACGACACATACAGACACACACACTCCATACGAATAAATAATATATAAAACATAAGCGTACGTGACAACAGCTTACACATGCATATACAAATGAATATATAATATGTCTAATATGTAAGTATATAAGTGGCATAATTAAGTGGCAGCAAACAGCAGATCGACACACGACTTATGTAGTTCATCCTTATATTATATTTTTAATCTAACCTTTTTTTTTAACATTCTCCAAACGGTCAGAGAGAGGAAGAATCAATGTTTTTAACATATTTATGAGCGAATATGATAAATATAAACAAAATGCTTGCAACCAAAACGAAATTATATAGCCAATTGTAGTAAACGAAAAACCAAAACCAAAACCAAAACAAAAACCAAAAATACGACAAAAAAAAAACCAATGCATATGAATAAACTTTTTAATTATAGCAAAAATGTACGAGTACGATTATAACCAAGTAACAGAAAACATTATAAAAACAATCATTTTGAGATCCAGCGAAAGCGTGGAGATGAATCTGTTTTCGGCTGCATTTAAAACAAAATAAAACTCAATTTATTGTATGTGTGGTGAACACCCCTTAAACTGACTATGTACTAGACGATTACGATTGTATTTATGTATGTATTTATGTACTTGTGTATTATTATGCAAATTGCATTAATTCTAGAGAGCCCAGGGGGAAGCCACAATCGAGAATCGAAAACGATAATGCGAAACCGAAACCGAAACCGAAATGAGAAACACACAAAAACCGAAATCCCATTTGCAAATCCCAACGCAGACCCTTGGCATCAAACCTTTGCACTCGATATAAACTGTATTTAAATATGATTTCCCTTTGCAAACTCATAATCCACGCGAAAATCAACCCACAAAACAGGACATAGTTTGCAATTTTTAATCAATTACTAAATACGTACGAAATGCATTTGGAATACATTTGGAATAACAAATTTGTTTCGATGCGTTAGCAGAGGTTTTCGTTTTAACTAACTACGATATCGTTTATACTTATGTGGAATGAGATGATGAAACCAATAAATATTATTTAATGCAATTTAATTGATGACTTTTGTTACTTATTTATGGAACTGCAAAAGTTATACAATCCGACTTGCAAGGGTATCAACGACGCCGACACCCAGAGATGTCGTTCCTTTTTTGTTTCTACCAAACACAAACTAAAGGCTCTTGGCCATTTGTACAAATATTTATTTGCCTTTGACTAGCTTTTATGTGGCTTTTGGGCAAACGAATGTCCAATGAGGCGCGTGGAGGTTGACTTGCTGACAACATTAAACAAATTGTTGGCAACTTCTGACATTTAAGTGGGGGCTCCATACACAAGCGGCAACTAGTTCAGATCCACCCAAGAATGCGAATGACTAACAATAAATTTACTGAGCTAATTTTATGCGCACACAAGCAAAAAAACACCCATGAAACAACAACCAAATGGCAGAGACAGCAAAAGCAACAACAGTACCAAAATCAAGAAGAAGTCAGCGAGGGCGACACGACGCGCAACAGGCGCACAAAAAACAATTATGGCACAGATTTAAATAAATTTTAGTTTGCAAATGTGACACACAGGGGGGAGATATGGAGCACAACAAAGTCAACGGCAACGGCAACGGCAACGAGTTCACACGCCAGTTAGTTGACGGGGGGGGACGGAAGAAGTGGCTCGCTGATGGCAGTGGTGTCAAGGGTGCACAGACCGGCGGCAACTTTGGCATGGCGTTCAAGCCGGAAGTTGCCGGCGACAAGCTCCGAGCCACGACAATTAAACAGCACACAGACACAATCTGAACAAACACATGGATATGTGTGAACATGTGAGCTTTGGGTTTGGGTACACATGTGTCGTGCCACAGCAAAGTTGCAGCCAGAGTGCAGTCTAAGTGAAGTCAGTCAGTCACTCAAAGTTCACTACTGCTGCTGCTGCTCCTGCTGGCCGAATATTTTGATACCCATTGTTGCTGGTTGCCATAAAAGAGTATGAGGATTTCCTTTAGTCAACTATGACCTCTCCCGTTCTCATAGTGTTTAGGATTATATCCAAAATATATATTAGAGGATATCCAGCAGTCGCCTCTGTCTTATGCTGTCTTAATTGTTGTTTTCCTGTTAACTGGCCAAGATTTTTGGGTCTCTGCTGCTGTTGGTTTGCTAACTATTTAGGCAGCATAAGCAAATCTCTGGCAGTGTGCCTGCAACTAGTGCGTCTGTGGTCTTGGCCAGCTCATTTGCATAATTCAGTGAATCAAACAATGTGACAAGTTGCATGCAACGCCTGGCTGCGTGGCAAGGGTGGTGCTCCACACATAACTCAACCCTCTCCATCTCCTTCCGCCCAGACAGGCTGACAACGGCTCAAAAGCTTTCGTGTCACACAGACATGAGAGTGTGCTTTATTGTTGCCTCGTTCTGTCCCCCCGCCACTGCTGTCTGAGTTCCCCGCTGCTGGCTGTCGACTTCTGTAGAACCTCTGACTTTTTGGCATTTTTAATTAGGCGCAACTTTGCCATGTGCCTGGGCCCGGGCCCAGTTGTGTGCTGCAGTGTGCAACTTTTATTTTCATGCGTCATTCAGGCAACCCCCGTCCCATGTGCTGCATGTTGTAATTGTTGCTGCTGCTGTTGCCTCGGTGTGCGTGTTTTTGTTGACACCAGCCCCAAAACCAACACAAGCACACATCACACATGGACTCACACTCTCGGAACCACTCTGAGAGCCATTCCGGCTTTATAGTTCAAGGTGAATACGAAAACTTTTGTGGGTCGAGCTGCGGGCGTTTGAAATAAACTCGTAAATGCTTCCACTGCCCCCAACCTCACCCTACATCTGTTTTTGTTTTTGTTCTTGCGGCAGCCTTTTGTTTATTTCCAAAGCGTTAAAATTTTAAACTTACCCCAAAATTCTTCTGGCCTGCTCTTGCTCCTGCTACTGCTTCGTTCGGCTGCTGATGTTGCTGCAACATTCTTGGCCCGTGTCACGCTACCAAATGTTTTACATTGTTCAGCAAACCCCCTCAAGCCTTTACTTTTTTTGGGGGCAGGACTCAAGGGGGCGGTGCAGTGGCTGCAGTTGCATGCAGCCTGCAATTATTGCGCAGTTATTGCATGTCGTGTACCCAATGAATTATTACGTATACGCAGTATGTCCAGGCCAACAAAAAAAAACGAGAAGCAAAAGGAAAAGGAAAGTTATGGAGGGGCTACCATCCAGCCTGAAGTTGGCCATAAAATATAGGAAACTCTGACATTTACTTGGAACGGGCATGCAAAAAATATATTGGACATTTCTCAAGCTAAAGGAAACCATGGAAATGGGTTGTTGATTGTTGACATCGTGTAAGTGAAAAAAAGGCTGTCCCTTGTCCCTTTGAATCATCTCAAGACTTTTCCAAATTCCACATGAAATGATGATGTCACAATCATTAAAGTACTCATGGAATAGTCATTCGTTTGCTTTCCTAAACTGTTCTACGTACAATACAATATTTCCAAACATCTCGAACCTACCTCAAGTCAAATGTCGCATATAAGGTTAGGCAATTGGCGTGGAAGACACGGTTTCCATATCGTCGCTCAACCAAGACACTTGGGCCGCCGTGGCAATGGCTACGCAATCCACGCACCGGACGACCTTGGCCAACTTGCCAATAAGTTCCATGTCCCCAAGTGGCAACCACAAAGGTCACGCACAGCTCGCCACAACCTCACATGGGAAGGGCCCTCTAATCACGCACTAATTAAAGGCTAGTTGGGGTGGCTCCAATGCGAATTCGAGTATTAATTAGAGTTAAACAATTGACTGCAGCAGAGAGCAACGCCCAGGGAGCTGTGCCACTTGGAAGAAGCAAATGTCATGACGTAAATGAGAGGCAACCATTTATCATTCGGAAGCAACTGGCAGCAGTCGGCAGGCAGTGGCATCAACATCCAGTGGCAGTGGCATCCAACAAAAGGCAAACAGACGTTGTCAACGCCAAAACCACTGAACTGTTAAAAGTGCCATTGAATACAGCAACAAAACGATGCTGGGCGCAACTGTGCAAACAGACGGAAAGACGGGGGAGACGACTCTAGCATGCATGGCTAGATGCGATGGGTATTTGATAGATACGTACGTACTTACATACATACATGCCTGGGGCATTACCTGAAGCGTATGCCCCGAGATGACGGTGGAGGTGGAGGCACGCATGTGGCAGCCAGCTCGCTCCCTATTCCCCGTGCCCATCCCCCCTCGTTCCATGAGCGTTAAATAGTTTTGTTTATTGCACATTGAAATCGAGCCAGCGAGCAATTCGGTGGCTGCTCGGATACACTCCAGCGATCTAATCAGCAATCTCAGCGTCGCGACGTTGACATGAAATTTCTCATACGCTCGGTTAGACGCGACGTCGACGCTCGATCGGCTATATGGCTATATTCCCCTGCTGCTACGGCCATTTGCATACACAGCTTCTGTGTAGCTGTGTATCTGTGTGAGCGCCTCTCTCTCTCTGTCTGACTCTACCTGGCGCTCGGAGGGATCGCACGACTCAGACCCCGAGATCAGTGTCAGAGCTATTTGCAAGTCGAAAGCCGCGCGAGTCAGACGTGCAGCTACAAAAATAAATACATTTAACTAATAAAATAAAATAACCACAAAACAAAATCGAACACTAAACCGCACTCAAAGTGCGCTTGGCTAAAAAACACAAAACAACAAAAAGTAAACAATGGAATGGAATATGAAAGTGTTTGCGAATAATTAGTACACCGATGCCTGTCTGACCCACATCTGGGCAAATTGGGCAAATATATAATTCATGGGGTCGGCTTAACAGGACACGGATTCCAATTCCTGGCCTCCCGGCCTCTTTGCATATGTAAATACATAAAGGGTTTAATCTGCAGGCGATTGGGCGGCAAACACGTGCTAAACTGTGCCAAACATAGCCCGCAAACACCCAAAGACAATTCAACCAAAAAGTGTGTATCCGTGTTTCAGTGTACCCGTGTATCTGTGTATCTGTGTATCTGTGTATCTGTGTACCCATGAATTCTGACCAAAAATCAATTACTATTTATTGCACGAACATGCTGCAGCGACTGTAACAACAACGCAACCAAAAAACAATGCCTCAATCAGCTTCAACAGCACCGTGGCTATGCAAAATAGCCATAGCCATGATATTCCTAATGCTGCATCCACATTCCAGCGGTAAGTTATACGAGTAGTGCTCCTCCTCCTCCTCATCCTGCTACCCCCCCTGGGGCTCCCGGGCATCGCTAATTGCCAGCTTTGACGCACTTCATTGGGAATTTCTACAAAAAGTTTTCAAACTGATGTAATTCCAGAGAGTGCGAGAGAGGGCTGTGAAGATGCAACAATCCAATCATTTTTGCACTTGCAATTTGCATTCAATGGCCAAATGGAAAACCAAACCCAAAGCTAGACAGATCAATTTACAAGCGAGTGCCACACCAATACAGAATATAGTATGGCAGATGTGCATGTCGGTTGTTATTATTATTACAGA